TGTATTCGACCTTAGTGCCTGGTGTCTCCGATGGGTTTGAAACCAACAAGGCGGTTGTACGCGCTGTCTATGCGGGTCCGGTCAAAGGACGAGTTCTGGCGCCATATTGCTACTTGCTATGCCGTGCAGCAGAACATGCCGGACATCAGGCTGGTGTTGGGCCAGCTACACCTGAGGTGATTAGATTAGATTTGCTTTTACTGAACCGTGGGTTGTCGTTGATAGTCGATTCTCCTCTTAATTTTTTTTTTTTGATGATAATCATTACCATGAACTCTATCAGCTCGGCTATATATTTGTCTTACTGTTATCGGCAATCAAGGTGCCTTCAGCCTATACTCAGCAACTGGATCCTGAATACTGACGCAACGGTTCGAATTAGAATGCCGGTGGCAAGGAGGTCATTAATTCATAGATATTAAGAACAAGACAGGTAAGTCATAACAGAGCGCTTTTCTTCTTCAAAAAGGCGGACAAAAGGGAAAAAAAAGCACGAGAATCCAAGAGCAGGAACCGGAGTACGCAGTGCGCAGTATTCGGCATTTAACCGGAAAAGGATAAAGTAAAAAACCAGTCGAGAAAAGAGGAAACAAGAAGGGAAGCCAAACAATTCGCTGGGAAGATATGGAAGTATCAAGGAGAGTCGGGAGTAGCATGAAGTCATCGCGGCATAAGCATGAGGAATCGTATGAAAAAGGAATACGGATAAAGGAGAAATGAAAAAAAAAAAAGGAAGAAGAAGAAGAAGAAGAGAAAGCCGCCCCATGAGATGGCCAAGGACGAGCAGACCAGGGGCTGAAGAAGAGTGGCAGGAGTACACGACGAGCACACCAAAACTGCCTGCGCGGGTAGCAGGCTTAAAGCGAGGATTAGTCGTCGAAGATCGTTCTGGCCGCCGATGACCATGCGGCGGGACGCAGTCTTGCCTTTCCGAGATCCTTCCTCGGCTTGCTCACTGGCTTAGCTTCGTCTGCTGATGCCTTTAAGTTCGACCTCGCTGTGACGGGTTTGATTGTAAGCAGATGTATCAAAACATGCATGCATGCATGCGCTGGGTCGGGATAGATGGGTCAAAAACGGATGGGCAGGCGCGTATTTCGTACATGCACGGGAGACGGGATAGGTAGGAGAGACGAATAGAAATACAGGAGTCAAGACGAGGCATACTCGGGAAAAGCGCAAAATTGAGGAACGAGAAGGGCATGTAATAAAGAGAAAGGGGAAGAAGCAAAAAAGGGTGCGGGTTCAGTTCGGGAAGATCATGGTATATTCTCCGTCCGTCGAATAAAAGGACCCATAATGTTAAAAAGGAAAGGGAAAAGAAAAGTAGAGGAAGAAGATCGATAAGACTGAAAAAAATCGAGAGCAGGGTAAGGATAACGACCCCCCAGGACTCTGACTGCGTCGTTGTTCTCGTCCAATGCGAGGTGCAGATGAGGGACCCAGCAAGGGATGCAGTCTGCAAGTATCGAGGGGGGTGGGATACGGTATGAAGGGCAAACGGGGGAAGGGAGCAAGGGCAAGCAGACAGGTATGAAACCGCTCATCGACACAGCGGCAACGGGGTTAAAAAAAATCAAGCACACGTATTGGGAAAACGGATACTCGTCGTCGACTTCTCTTGGGATCCTTTGGAAGGGGAGCAAAAAAAAAAAACATCGGATAGAACTTACAAGACAAGAGTAGAGTTCGGTGGTATTAGTCCGGGGAAGCCACTAAGAAAACACACCACAAGAATCAGCGAATTAGTTGTTACCAGCGCCACGCAGCCTGACATGTAACTCGTCTTGTTGGGCACAGTATTCTCTCCCTTTCATTTGCCGCCCTTTCTCTTGTTATCCCACCGGACGGCCAGAGAAAGGGTCGAGCAAATAAAAGGGGGCCAGAGCAAGCAAAGGGCGGCCTTGGGAAAACAGCACAATGGGGGAAAGAGATGGAAAAAGGCCATACCGGTCGCCGTATGCATAGTCCCTGGACGCCAATCGTTGTTAGCCATGATACGTGGACAAAAGGGGAGAGGGCAATATGTCCGTCCATATTGTATTGTATATTAGATACTTACCCGCTAATGGTCAATATGCACTTCTCGCCAACTGTCATGTTCATCACGCCTTCGTCCCATCCTGTACAGTAGAAGGCTGAGGTTAGGGACTTGGACATCGTGAATGCCTGCTGTGCTGGACTACAAGACCAGCCAGAGAAGGGCCAGCCAAGCATCTATCAGTGTCTCTCCATACCTCGAATGACCTTGCCGATACCGATTGGAGTCTTGAACTCTCCTCGATCTTGTGACGAATCGAACCTGGAAACAAAGCGAACATGCATGAGCTTGACTAGTCATCCAAGGCCAAGTTTTTTATTTCGGTTTCGTCCTCGTCTCTTTTTTTTTTTTAATTCCAATCATACGACTGTTTATTTTTCTCATCCCCATAGACAAGACCAGGTTAATGGAAAATGAAAGTTGACATACTGTTTGCCCATATTATGATATGTAGATCGGCTAGGGTCGTAGAGGCATCCACGATAGTCGATTATCACCTCGTCTCCCTTGGTAGGTCGGTCGACTCCGTTGCCGCTTCCCGAGCGCAGTTAACTTTGGTATCTCGGTAAACAAAAGCGAGAGAAAGGTTGCA